CACACACACACACACGCGCGCGCGCAGGCACGCACGCAGGCACGCACGCACCCACGCCAAAAGGTGCAAAAAATCAATACGTTTCCTTCGGAAAGAATCAACGAACGCAGCCGGCACGCATTGTTGTATATGCCATGCCGATATTCATTTATGAATAAAATACATGCTTTTACGCGGAAGAACCGTGGCAAATCTCCGGATGGAAACAGCAAGACTAAAACCTTTTCATCTCAGGAATGTTGAATACAGACTTACAGGGGCAATACGGGGAGAGGTAGTTCCGATCCGACTCAACTGTATATCACGAACAGCACAGGCACACAGTTAATGACGTGAATGGTTAAAACTGCAGATTCTTGCAAACCGCGGTCCGTGTAGAGATTCATTGCTATCTACTGTTGGTGATCAGAAGTCTTCAGAATAACCTCGGAGTAATCAGTCAGAATGATTACTCCAAGGTTATTACTGAAGTAAATCTTTGTAGTCGTTTCATTTCTATACTCATGTCACGGAGGGCCATTTAATATCAAAGGTGCCAATAGGCTTTTGGATGTGGTAGATAGCATTCTTCTTCTTCTTTTATAATCGAAACACGTCACTCGAATTTGTTTCAATTTGTTGCGCGGTGTTGTTCGTTGATAAGCGTTGCTCGAAAAATGCGAGCGACTCTTGTATTACCGTCATTCCTCCGATTTGTCAATGACAGTAGATGTTTCCGCGTTAAATGCTGTAACGTGAAAAATGAGCAAGGCTTGTATGCCATCGTTTTTTTTACCAAAATTGCCGAATTTAGTGGATTTGTTTGTTAGACATCAAACTATAATCATAACAAAAACGACAACAACAACAACAACAACAACAACAGCAACAACAACAGCAGCCGTAGCAGCATCAGCAACAGCAACAGCAACAACATCAGCAGCAGCAGCAACAGCAACAACAAAAACAACAATAACAACAACAACAACATCAGCATCATCATAATCATCATCATCATCATCAGCACCACCATCATCAACAACAACAACAAAAACATCAGCAGCAACAGCAACAAAAACAACAAAAACATTAGCATCAGCAGCAGCAACAACAAGAACAACAACAACAACATCAGCATCATCATAATCATCATCATCATCATCAGCACCACCATCATCAACAACAACAACAAAAACATTAGCATCAGCAGCAGCAACAACAAGAACAACAACATCAGCATCAGCATCATCAATAACAAGTGCCGCAGAGCGACAGGGCTCATCTGGTGTCTGGTGTTCTGCTGATAAATTCATTTGTGCATAGCAAGACGTCCTATACATACGTTCATTTCTAACCCAAAAAAACAACACTTCAAACTAGTGTAATAAAATTCCGACGGGCCGCTATCAAAGGCATCGTTGCATCGGTCATTAAAGCATTGCAGCAATGGCAGCTGTCAGTGTGACGACGAATTGCGAAAAGCAGGAGCGAATAATTACCATATTATTACTATACATAACGTGCGTTCTATGGTGTCAGGTAATAAGGTACGTCATTAAACCCCTTGCGAGGCACATCTGGCTCATTAAAAATAGCTCAATGGTTGATACAACCAGAGAATATATATATATATATGTGTGTGCGTGTGCGTGTGTATGTGTGTGCGTGCGTGCGTGTGTGTGCGCGCGCGCGCGTGTGTGTATATGTGTGCATGTGTGTGTGTGTGCGTACGTGTGTGTGTGCGCGCGTGTATGTGTGCGTGTGTGTGCGTGCGCGTCTGTGTGTGCGCGTGCGTGCGTGCGTGCGTGTGTGTGTTAATGCAAACACTCTACATGACCCTACACTAATACACTAGCTCTAACAACGTTGTGTGTTATACGTTTTCTAGAAAAACCTAAAAACTAATTTTAACATTACTTGCATACATGAGACCTCAATGAGTAACCGGAGTGCGGTACCTTTTATCATAACGGAAGCAAAATTCAACAGAAATATTATCTAGGACTACGCGTAAAAAAGTTGCAAAACATTTACGAGGCGAAAAAGCATGTTTGAGTAAAAAACAGCTCGTCAATCCTGCATGAATAAAACACCAAGTGCCGAGTACCTTACCCATTGCTGTGAGATTGCGCGTGAGTGTAAGACGTTGGATGCAGGTAGGGACGAGGACTAGAGTAATTGGCTGCTACATACTTAGCTCACGTTGATGGCAGGCGAGGTGGGACACAAATGGTATTTAGTGACTATCATATATTCCATTTAGTGTCTGTCATTAAATCATTTAGTGTCTGTCATTAAATCATTTAGTGTTTGTCAATAATTCCATGCCTATGATTGGCTGAGAAAAAAATAAGTTGTATCTGATTGGTTGATTTAATGACTGTTACTAAATGGAACATATGCTAGTCACTAAATAGCATTTGTGTCCCACCTCGCCTGCCATACACGTTGCCATGTCTTGACCACATTGAGAGTTAAAGCTAAACCCGCTCTTCATACTACCACATATATATATATACAG